GAACTGCGGTACAAACGGGTACAAACGATTCTGAATTTGATGGCGTTTGAAAAATTTCATTATCTCAAAGTGGGGTGCTAACTTTTTTTTTAATTTTTTTTTCTCTCAACCCCTTGAGGTACAAACGAAAAGAACGGTGGTACAATTGGGTACAAACCTAGCTCTATCCAATGCATATAAAAAAAATTGTGTTTCTTAAAGTCGGGTGCCAGGTTCACATAGGTCCTGCTAGCTTGACAGAGGTCCATGAAACTTTTCATTTAACACGAGTTTATTAGACGCCGATTTTTGTTCATGAATTTTTGAAAGTTTCAGCCACATCTCATTCGCTGTTTCGCACGTGATAAGCGATCTGAGCTGCTTTGCTTCCATTGACGAGGAAATTATGAATACGGTTTTCGCGTTCTCGCGTTTCCATGCGGTCGCTGCCACCTGATCCTGATTTGATGACTTCTTCTTCTCGCCGTTGACTATATCTAACAAGCTGTTCGCAATGAACAATCTCGTAATTTGAAATTTTCAGGTTGTGAAATCATTTCCGTCGAATTTTGACATGTGTCGAGCCATCATCTCTCTCTTCCGACATTTTATTAGTTTTCTGTTTGCTATCGAAGATAACACAATCGAACTTCCAGATCTATGTTTATCAACCGACCATGTTTTCACAATGACGATTAAAATGCCGCGAAGAACAGCCACGCAACTTGGACGACCTGGGAGAAGCGCTTAGGCAGACTTGAAATGAAATTCCAGTAATTTAAATCCAGAGATGGGACAACGACTAGAAGCGGTGATTAATCGGGGAGGACGAAACACACGATATTAAATACACCCACGTACACGTACATGTCCATCTCCACCCCACACGCTTGCGCTCACGCACGCACGCGCCCACGTGTGCAAATTCCGTCCGGCAATCTCCACATGGTGCACATTGTGTAACGATAATATCGGTGGTAAACGTTATTTTTTAAGAAATGATGAGAATATTTCGAACATCCCTATCAAAAAAATATCATATAATAATGTAAAAGATATGTTTTACACGAAAGAGAGTTTTAGTTTTCGACATTTGTATTAAATTTTTCAAGAGAAATCTTTTTTATTTTACAGAGTATCGAAAGTACGGCATTTTAGAAAACAGAATATCGTTCTTTTATTCTAAACACAAAATTGAGGAGATTTTGTATTCCGTACATGTCATCAAAGTTGAAGTTAATTTTTTAATTTTAAAAGATCGACTTCATATTAGCATCGGTCATAATAAAATTTTTGCATGGAAACATGATATAAAACATTCGGGAGTTATGGCTTTAAGCTTAAAAACGTTTATTTAAACATTGTTTCGTAATCATTTTTTGCAGAGATACGTAATCCTTGATTCTGTCCTTTTTAACTACATTTTAATTCTAAATAATCCTTTAACTTCAAAATAAAATAACTTCGTTGTTATAATCAATTATTATTATTATCGTACAAACATTTGAAAAAATTATTTTATTATTAAATATAATACATAGAAATTATTATCCTATTGTTTCGATGATAATTACATGAGCACAAATAGCATGTATATGGAAGCGTTCATGATTAATTCTCGAAAACGATATATTGTAATATAACTTTATTATACATTATTGAATTTGGAAAAAAATAATCTTTAATTTGGTAAAAGAAGTTGGAAAATTTGAAAAACTGAGGGCGATGAGAGCATCTTTTAAAAAAGAATTAAAATTTTTTTTTCTTCGCAACTTTAAAGTTTTCTTAAAACCGTACAACTTTTGTATAAAAAATTTCTTTCTAAAAAAAAATAAATTTTTTATACAGTACTTCCGACGATATTCAGCTTGAAAGAAAAATACCGTTTTTTTTTTCAAAGGAATATTTCATCTCTTAAACATGAGTTAGCGCATGTATAAAAAAAACTTGTTTCTTAAATTTTTGTGTTTAACAACATATATCATGGAGAACAAATCGGTTCTGGACAGTCCTTTCGGTTGTGAAACGTCCCTAAGATCCACCTGACGATATAAATGCTTCAAAACATTCTTTCATTGATCAATTAGTAAAATTATTTCTTCCGATTACGCTGCAGTAAAGTGCTTCAAAGCATTTATAGCGTCAAGTGGACGACATCCAATATTTATGTTACCTGCAAATAACGGAGTTGCAAAGCAGCCGGTGAATCGCCGATAACTTCCGATGCCTCCCGCAGAGCCCTGCTGGCCTTCTGTTCACCCTCTGCGGCAATCACCTAGTAAAATAATTATGAAATTGTGGATATAGATAAAATAAATGATAAGTTTGCATAAAGGGAGAGTAACCGCCGATGACCTTGACCTTAATATATGTTGTACACTGTGAGTAACCCCCAACAAGTTTTAACAAGTTGGCGCTCGACCTTCGTTAAAAAGTTACAAGTTAGTTAAAGTTAAAAGTCAGAACGTTTGAAAAATGATGCTTTTTTTATACTACACTCGTCAACAAGGTTATAGGTAAATTTATATCAAAATTTCGCATATATAAATTCAAATAAGCGTAACCCCGCGAAAAATGGTCGCATTTAAAAGCTTTTTTTTAATTTTTAAAGATGAAGTCTGTACTTTACAAATCTTTCAATGGATTTTGAATCTATCCTTACCCCTACCTAGCATCTTTTAGAAAATAAGAACGTGTCTTTTTTATAGAAATTTTGATTGCTTTACGCAATCTACGGGGTGAAGTAATTTTTTTTTGTAAATGCCATGATAATCATCGTAGAGTATGGACGTTTCTCTTATAAATTAAAAAAATTAAGCTGTGTACAATTTCTTTCGAAGAGATACAGTGTATCAAATTTACTTGTGCATTTTATTTAATTAGCCAGCATTAGCATTACCCAATGCGCATCACGGAGAAGTTGTTAGTCGGATTTTGCGAATCTTCCGCCTCGTTTTCGGATGAAAATTTTGTAAATGTGTACGCATTTTGTTGTAAGCTCTAATTGAAACCTGAGGAATTTCTCATCATGTTCGATGCAATACTGCTTCCAATTGCTGCAGATTTGTTGGCGGTTCCTCTTATTTTCATAGTCTTCATCCCATCATATCTCATATATATTCAATGGGATTCAAATCCGCGCTCATTGGAGGATGTGATAGTATCTCGATGCTTTATCCTGATGTAGGACAATGTTCGCCCACATACAGCTAGAATTGCAATTAACTTTCTCGAAGAAAACAACATTGAGATGCTATCACATTCACCAATGAGCGCGGATTTGAATCCCATTGAACATGTACGGAATATGATGGAAAGAAGACTACGAAGATTAAAGAAATCGCCAACAATTCTGCAGCAACTGGAAGCAGCATTACATCGAATATGGTGGGAAATTCCTCAGGTTTCAATTAGAGCTTGCATCAATATGCGTGCACGTTTAAACAATGTTTTCCGTTATCTCGATAAAATTATCTAGATAATCATCTAGACGAAGAAATGGCTTTATCTTATCTTTATCTAGATTATTAAGAATATAGATTATCTTTATCTTATCTTAGATAAAAGAATTGTTATCTTTTTCAAACTATTTAAGATCGTACAAGAGTATTATAAGAAAGCTCCAAAAATTGAAACCAACTGAAATTGAATTCTTAGAAGAATTTATTATGATTATATCTCCTTTAGCAACAAGTCTTGATATGTTACAAGGAAAAAAATTAATTTTTTTGGTTTGGTGGCACCTACAATTACTATACTAAGATAAAAACTTACAAAATTAACACATTTAATATATTGTAATCCATTTGTAGTTGGAATGATTCAAGCTTTAGAAAAGCGATTTAAACATATTTTTGATCTTGGATCACCTGATAGTAAACCGTTTATTATATCTGCTATCAGTTTACCTAGATTTAAATTAAATTAGGCGCCAGAAGATAACATAGATTTATGTAAAGAACTTTTTTTAAAAGAAGTAGATAACTTGTTTGCAAAAATACAATTTACTCTCAGGCTAAACTTCCAGTAGTAGTAGTATTAGTAGTAGTGAGGATGATTTTTTTCGTGATGTAGACAAAAAAAATTGAGATCATTGTGACACCAGTCGTTCAAAGTAATATTGAAGTACTTTCATATTTAAAAAATAAATCTAAAGAAAATAAATATTCTTAATTTGTATCCACACGTCAAACAAATTTTTTTATGTATAACACATCATTGCCATTATTAATGCCAGTACAGCGCCTTTTTAGTTGTGGACAACAAATATTAATTCCACGTAGAAATCGATTATCAGACGAAATGTTCGAAAAACTTTTGTTCTTAAAAAATAAAGATTTATAAAAATATGAAATCGCGTTTTTTATATCCTAAATCGTTTTACTACCTAATATTTACTTAAAAACAAAATTATCTTAAAAATTATCTAGATGACATTTTTTTAAATTTGATCTTTTATCTAGATTGATGTAAAATTAATCATCTATATCTTATCTAGGATACATTTTTGTGTGATTTATCTTATCTACATCTAGATAATTTTTAATTATCTAAACGCAACGCTGCGTTTAAATGATGTCCGAAGACGTGTCAACCTCCCTGTGGTACGCATCGGGTAATGCTAATGCCGACTATATAATTGAATAAAATGCATAGGTAAGTTTGATACACTGTATCTCTTCGAAAAAAATCGTACAAAGCTTAATTTTTTTAATTTGTAGGAGAAACGTCCATACTCTACGATGGTTATCATGATATTTACGAAAAAAAATTACTTCACCCTGTAGAGTGCATCAAACTATGCAAATTTCTTTTTAAAAAATTACGTCCTTATTTTTGACAAAATGATTCAAAACCCATTAAAAACTTTGTAAAGTACAGACTTTACCTTTGAAAATGAAAAAAAAAACTTCTAAATGCTAACCATTGTCTGCAGAGTTACGCTTATTTTAATTTATGCGAAATTTTGATATAAATTTATTTATGTTATAATTTTGTTGACGAGTGTATATAAAACAGGAACTTTCTGCTTAAAAATTGTATATTTTATGATTTTCCATGCAAAACGAGATCCACCTCATCTCTCCCCCTGCCAAAAATGACGTCCGACTTTCCATATAAAGCAAGATTCACCTCATCTTTCCTCTATCTAGGGGAGTCAAATTAGAGAAAGTGCGGAGTGAGCCTGGACAGTCCAACCTCATAAGCAGAGGGGGACATAAAGTGGACCTCGCTTTGCATAAAAAATCGTACACTCTTAGGCAGAAGGCCCTCATCTTAACAGAGAGAGAGGTAAGGGTAGAACTCGCTTCGCGTGGAAAGTCCTGCGTCCTTGGCAGGGAGGGGGGGGGAGGGTGGGATGGACCTCTTTTTTTTCCTTTTGTCTTGTTCTTCCTCTATTTACTTCCAGAGCGAAACAAGATCAACAATTATTCTATTATAAATAATTTCGTGTAGAAGGAACACGTAAGAACGAGAGAAGGCTCTGTCCCTCTCCTCGTATGCCTATCCCGATTAATACTAATCTGACCCAACCCTTATCTGATTGTGAGATCAACCTCGTTTCGCGTGGGAAGTCGTGCATCTCTAAGCAGAGGCAGCGGGGTGAAACTCGCTTCGCGGTTGCATTCCCTTAATCGATCCACCTCATATTTCTCTCCCTGCCTTGAGTTATTTGATTTTTTATGTAAAGCAGGGAAATAATTACCGACATTGACTGTTAATAACTTTTTAACGAAGGACGAGCGCCGACTGAAACTTATTGGGTGTTACTCCGAATCATGATCTTGACAACATATGTCAAGGTCGAGGTCATCGGTGGTTGCTCTCTTTTTACGCATCAAATAAATTTTAACATATTAATAAAAGGAGGATACAGCCACAACGCAAGATGTTTTTAATGAATATCATATGTATTAAATATTTACGTTGATTATATAAAGATTATAAACGTTTCGATTACGATCTAGCTTCCTTCAGTATATCAATTAATAAAATAGTTAAATTATTAGGTGTACTTTGCTTCCGCCGTTTTCCTATGATGGCTTTAGCGGTAAGTGGTGGTCGAAATAAATAGATCAGTGTTGCCAGGTGCTTTCGTCGATTTTCCCCTAAAACAGATTACCCTCGGAATCTCCTTAAATCTCCCTAAGTGAGTTCCAAAAAAAACCCTAGATTTCTCCCTAAAATTGTTAAATATGTTCAAAATAAAATAACAATGAGCCTTCTACAATAAGCCGCAAGTCAGAACGTCAGAAGTCTTAACCAGCCTTAACCAAGTCGTTCAAGTTGGCTGTTGGCCAACTTCACCGATTATGACTTAAGATCGCTTAGAACTCCTGACCCATAAAAGTTTCCATTCAAATTAATATTAATCTTATATATTAATATACATTTGAGAAGGGAGAATAAAAAATATTTTAAAACTATTTTTAAAGGTTAAATTAAACTAATATTATCATATGTCATATATGACGTATTTATTAATTTAAATTAGTAATAAACACAAATATGATAAGTACATGAACAATATAAGTATATATATATATACAGGGTGGACCATCTGAAGTGATCCAGTCAAATATCTCGAAAACTAGTAGGGATAGAGAAAAATGTTTCGT